CCGCTCACTTCCAGTGCCCCAGAACTCCACCAGAGCCCAGAGCCCAGAGCCCAGAGGAACTCGGTTTTGTTCAGCCTCTACAGTGTGCTCCTCAGGCAGCGTGAGACCCCAGCACATGCATGGAGAGGTTCCTTGTACTGCACTAACTCACAACTTCTCCCAGCCTTGAGGGAGGTCCCAGGAGCAGAGGGGATGACTGAAATCCAAGTCCTTTTTAAGCTGCATTCATCCAACAGTGCAATGGCTGTTGGATGAATGCAACGAATTCGCCCAACCCTCAGAGGACCACAAGACTTGTTTTTAACCTATCGTGGCAAGAGGTTCGATTCATCTTGGCCAGTTGCTATGCCCCAGATAAAAAACAGAGTCCTAGAAGAGGCTAAGAGTTACACAGATGAACAACACACCACAGAAAGGAAAGGAAACTCCTGCAAGAGGTTGGCACCCGAACCAGAATGGAACTACATAATACTGGCAATAAGCTAAAAAGATTTCTAACATAGTTGTTCTGATCACAGGAATGAAAAGATACATTAAGAAATTTGTTATGATCAGATGAGGGATCACACAGGCTGAAATGGAAAGTTCAGCTGTCTCCCATAGCCAAGAAGTCTCTCATAAATTTACAAACATAGACCTGTCTTCCCAGGAGGGACAGGCACTGAGGAGATGTCAGTTACCTGTCAGTCAGTCCCAGACATTTAGTGCCAATTATTTTAATTTAAAAAAAGTCCTGTTTGCTAAGATTGGTTAGAGGCTTATCAATTTTATTTCTTCTTTCAAAGAACCAACTCTGATTAATTCTTTATATTGTGTTTAGTCTCGATTGAGTTAATTTCTGCTACAATCTTTATAGTTTCCTCCCTTGTATGGGCTTTGGACTTGACTTCTTTTTCTAGAAGCTTGAAGTACAGCATAAGGTTATTTGTTCATTCTGTTCTCCTGATGTAAGAATTTACTACTATAAATTTCCCACTGAGGACAGCTTTCATTGCATCCCACATGTTCTAGAATGTTGCATTTGCATTTTGGTTTCATTGTATGTATAATGTGATTTCTTCTTTAATTTCATCTGTGACACACTCATTGTTCTGGAGGATGTTATTGAAATTTCATGTTATGGAGTTTTTGAGGTTTCTTTTGCCATTGATTTCCAATTACACTGCACAAACAGAAACACTAAATCTACTGGAAGAGAAAGTAGGTAGAATTGTTGAAGACATAGGTGTAGGCAGACTCTAGGAACAAAACTCGAACTGCAAGGAAACACTCCGAAGTACCAACAACGGGGACCTCATCTTTTACAAAGCTTTTACACACCAAAGAAATCATCAACAGAGTAAAAAACAACCCAAAGTGGGAAAACTTTTAGCCAACTGTCCCTCAGACAAAGGACATCTAGAACACATAAAGAATTGAAAAATATCAGATCCATCTCCAAATTCAAAGACCCAATCAAAAAATGGGCACCTGATACTAATGTACACTTCTCAGGCGAAATACAAATAGAAATACATGTAGGAAAAAATGTTCAATAGCATTGGTCATTCAAGAAATGTCAATTAAAACAATACTGAGATTTCACCTCACCCCAGAAAGAAGGGCTATCATTAAAATGTCAATAACAAATGCTGGAGGGGCTGGGGGGAAAAACCCTTCTTCACTGTTGGTGGGCATGTAGAATGGTACACCCACTGCAGAAACCAGTGTGGACATCTCTCAAAAAAAACTAGGATTACTCAACCCAGTTATTCTCCTTCTGTGTATTTTCCCAGAAGAAAAAATCACACCACAGTGATATATGTGCACCCATGTTTATAGCAGCACAGTTTATAATAACTGAATATGGGAAACAACCTGAAAGTTCATCAACTGAGGAATCTATAAAAAGATGTCATATTTTTATACAAAGGAGTATTACTCATCTACAAAGGATAAATTTGAGACTTTTATAAGTAAATGGATGTACCTTGAGACTATCCTTCCAAGGAAAATAAATCAGACTTGCATATGCAAATGTTGTATTATCTCCCTAGTGTAAAAACCTGGAAGCATGAACAGATCCAAAATGTACAACAGAGACTGTGAAAGGGGAAGAAGGAAAGAACAAGTGGGATGGGGGAAGGAGAAAAGAAGGAAAAAAAAAGTGTGTGTGTGTGTGTGTGTATATAAAATACACACAGGATAGCTAAGATAAATACACTACTAATTTATATTAGTTTATTGAAAAGAATGGTTTGTACTTATATTGTGTGATTAAGCTTTCATGCTTGTATCTTATAATCTAAGTAACTACTTTGAATACAGCAATACTCAATACATCCTTTTTTTTTTTAATGTATTTAGTGTGGGGTCTACAGGGTCTCACTACATACATCAGACTCAGTGATTCTCCTGCCTCCCAAGCGCTGGGATTACAGTGCACGCCACCACACCCAGTCTCCTTACGGACCCAGGATGGTCCTAGATGCACGACGAAGCCAGCACCCACTTGAGCCAACTGAAAAGATGACTCACAAGAAAGCTGTTCCTCTGCATCTCTGGAAGAGCTGATGCTCCTCCCTGAAGATCACAGCTCTTGTCCTACTGAGGGTGCAGCTAAGTAGTCACTAAGGACCCTAATTCAACACAGCCCAAATGGGGACCTGCCCTGAGATTTGGTTTTTGATTCACAATGTGGGTGATCTTGCTCTCCGGTTCCAGATAACTTAGCTAATAGTCCTCCTCGTCACACTTTCTCTTCCACGGGGGAAGTTGAACCTGCTACTTCTCTTTAGACTCTGCATTGCCAACCTAATAGCAGAGCATCTCTTCTGACAGATTCATCCAGGTCTCTCATGCAGGAGGCAGCTATGCAATCCTTCACCTATGGACACAGCTCTTCTCTTATTGTCCTGTCAGGTTTTCTTCTTTTCCATCCAGCCAGCAAGCCATGACATTCTAAGGCAGCAGAAGAGCATACAGCCCCCAGGAGGCGGGACCTACAGCTCCTTTCAGCATGCTGTAGCTGTGACAGTGGAGACCTCCTACCGCAGCACCCCATAAATCACGGGGTTTGTGTCTCTCTGGAGGAAATGCAGCAGACAATGAGGGACTGGCAAACTGGCCGGGAGAGGACGCATGTGCAGGCCATTTTCCAAATCCCTGCGCTGAAACAACAGAAAACGCTGTCTTCAACTATGAGAACTTGAGCAGGTTTTCAACAGGATGGCTTAAACCTGAAGTCACCTGAGAAGTGGGATGGTGACCATGGGATGCGGGCTGAAGACACTTTCAGTGGCCAACCCTGTTGTTGGGTAGATCTCCCTCGTCATTAGTTGACCCAAATGCATCCAAAGAGCATGTTTCTTTTCCTGTTATACTTCAGTAAATCTAAAATACCACCTTTTGTGTTTGTCTAAACCAATTCCTTCTTCAGGATAGAAAGAACCCAAAACCCACCTCTAAAAGAAGACTCAGGCACCCCGGAATCCAGTAACAATAGCATCCTAGCTTAGGACAATGACATAATTCTGGATACTCTACTATCATCTTCCAGGTCCGGAACGCTCTCTTCAGCGATGCTTGTGAGCTTCTGGGGAGGAAACGCCAAGATCCTTTCCGCCTGTGCACTCACAGCGAATTTACTCTACATCTCCGAGCTGTGCCATCAGGTAATTCCTTCTCCTTAGACGTGAACGACATGCAGTGACAGGGCTCTGGACCAGTGGCCTGGTAGCAGACTCTCTGGGCAGACTCTGCACAGCTGCCATACCACAAATGGCGTTTAGACGCCACCGATCCAGCAACCTGCTAGCAAACACATCAACGTTGATGCAGACATTTTCCTAGCTGAGCTCTCAGAACAAACTGTGCCTCTAACCAATATTTTGCAGCCTGAAACAAAAAAGGATCCTTACACTGGAAGTTGGATGATATACGTGTAGGAAATCACTAAGCTTGTGGTAACACAGTACTACCTCAGTTCACAAACCCTTCCTTTTGTGAACAATTCAGCTCAGTAACAAGCCTTCAGCAAACCTTGGCTTTGTCAACTCGGAAGATGACTCGCAGTTCATTCCTGCCCACTCAGCACACTCGCGCGCCGGCCTGCAGGCCTCTAGGCACGGAGGGGAGGAGCACAGCCCATACGGCTCAAGGCTGGCGGCCTTACTTCCAACAAGAACATAGGCTGGGCCTGGCCATGAGTCATGACTGGGTGTGGACCAAATTACCTGAAGAACACATTCTCTACTTCTCTTTTTAAATCAAGACTGAAGACTCAGGACATATGAGAACTTGTACTGTAACTTCATGTACCTCGGTAGTGTCCCAAATTTTCTGATCAAGATTATGGGGCCAAAGAGGAAAGTGATCGATGACGTAGAGTGGGCCTAAGGAGAGTCACATGGGGAGAAGACACTCTCTCAGGCTTTCACAGAGAGCACACTGGCCAAGCATTGGCCGTGACTCATCCACATGGCTGCACTGATGAAGGTTCTACAATCTGAGGTACAGGATCTCAAGACAAATCCTGAGGGCATTTCACTGACCTTCTCAGACCAAAAAGCTACAACTCTTGTTGCACAGGTCCTGCTTTACCTTGGTCTTAACCATCCAGCAGAAAAGTATGAAGACGAAATTATAAGAAATAAAGCCATGCTGTTAAGTTGAGCTGTGGGGGACTCAGGTCAATAATTTCTGACATTGCCAGTTAAACAGAAGACCCAATGCTATTATGGGCTACTGGACTCTTTTAGAATATTTTGCTGAGTTTACACACCTATAATATTCAATAACGGAACTTAGAAAAAATGGGGTATACAGATGAATGTCCATTTTGTATCTGTGTATTCAAAGTGGTTGGGATAGATATATAGTTACATTCTGTTAACGAATAGAATGATTTGTTCTAATGGTGTTTGTAAATAGGATCACAAGTCCGCATCTTGTATAGCAATTAACCACTAAGAAGAATATATGCAGTGTATTATTTGTTGAAAAATAAAAAAAATAAAAAATAAATCAAGACTGAGAATTTTATCAAAGCCTTGGTTTACTGTTTATGCAAAATACTGCTCGTGCTTAAAGAGGTTTGAGTAGGGCTCTGACAGTGTTACCATTCATTCATTCACTGTTACCAAATGTAGATAAAAAGATATCTACACATTCTCAAATACCTGAATGATTGCCTATGTTTAAAATTACACATTATAAAGTAGTTAAAAAACACAACTAGTCCTATCAGCAATATGTAAACAAAACCACTTTTAATCACGGTGCTATCACTACACTTAACTCTTTCAGGCTTAGCGGATCACAAGTTACTGTGCACCCCGGCCGGGGAGAGCCTGCAACAACTGCTGAGATGAAGGGATTCCGGGCAGTGACCGCCCCACTTCCGGAAGGTTCCGCCCGCCCCTGCTGAGTTCCTGGTGCTGTCATCAAGCCACCGGCAGCTCCACAGCACGGCTACTTTTCCTGAGACTGTCACACTGAGGAGCAGGCAGTCCCCTGCGCTCAGAGAAAACCAGACACAGACTCAGCGACCCCTCTGCTGCACGCCACTGTGGAGGACAGGTCAGCACGAGAAACGTGCTCAGTGCGGCATGCATGCAGTACCTCAGGTACACACAGCGTTATGAAAGTTCTTTTTATTGTTCCTTTCGTGAAATTTAAATACACTCAAGAGTCCCCAATGAAACGTCCCCTTCATCTCCCGACACCCGTGGCTCGCCTTCCTCCGGCTGGTTGAGGAGAAAGTGAACTATCTGAAGCAGGACGTCATCATTAAAGCCTTTCACGTCATCACCCTCAATCGTCTCATAAAGGGGCTCGCTTTGCGTCCCCCAACACAGATTTTTACGAGGGTTATTTTCATCAGCTTGTGCGGTCAGTGCCAAAGTATTTAACTGGTAGCAGAAAAAGGAAAAATATTTTCCATCTGTGATCACACCCTGTGAGACAAAAGGCCGAGGAACATCTGCTTCACTCCAGAACCCTGCAGAAGGAAGGTACACACAGAGCATACTCAAAACAGAACAGAACATGTTAGAAAGCAGCCCCCAGGAGCTGGCTTCCAGATTCCCGAAGACCTCCGTTTCCCTGTCCTCCGCATCCTACCCGGAACTGCATTTCTGCAACGAAGACAACCTGCAGTCTACGTCCCCGCACTCACAAGACGTACTTTCAACAACTGCAGCCTTCAACAGCTTTTGGCCTGAACACACCTCACCCAAGCAGCACAGTGAGCTCTCCCAGGGAGAGCCGTCCTGCGCCTAGCACTGATCAGACCCTAACTCCTGGACTTGGGGTGCGCTCAGGTTTCTCCCCCAGCAGCACCTGCAGCCCAATAACCACTAGGGCTGTTTATTCCACCAAATTCACAAGGAGAAAAAAACCCACTTCACAGTTAAGACTGCCTGTGGGTTTTGGCATGTTATTAGATGAACTCAGTGTGCTGATTTATGTATTTAAACATTAGTTTTAGAAGTTTCTGCCCTTTCGCCTAGCATGTCTTAGTTATGAGGTTCCAGGATGTCCTTAAATTTCAAGAATGAGCTTATACTTCCACAACTCAATTCTTCTTCTTGCTGTTCTTCCTCTTTCTCTCCTCTGATTCTTGCTACCTAGTTCAGGCCGCCTTGACCTCACAGGGCCCCTCCTGCCTCAGCCTCTCCAAGGCTGGGTCACAGGCACACACCACCACGCCTTGCTCCCTACTTCCCAAATTACTGGACTGCGTTTTCTTCCACGCCCCCTGGCTTTATAGGCCGAAGGGCAATTTGGCTTTACACATTTCCCATCATCCTTAGGTAGCCAGCCAATGAAGAATACTGTTCAAGTACGGAATTAGCACCACTGTAAAACAAAGGGGTTTACCTGCAGGAATGAACAGTGCTGCGCTAACATCTTCAGGCTACCTCGCACATCGTCTACCCCTACTTCCTACCTCGTTTGCATTTCTGTTGCAGAAATGTAAGTCAATAATGTGAGCATATTAAAATACATAAATATGCAAAGGAAAAAAGTGAGCTTACTAATGAATCTGCAAACTTCTCTGACACTTATATAAAACTAGCCTAATGCATAGCCTACGAATGAAATCTACCCACCCAGTAGTGGGGTGGGGGCAAAGGCTGTTGTTGCCGAGTTGCTTAGTAGGCAAAAGACCTTCACCACAGCGAAACAAATATAAACGCTCGGTAATGTAGCCTCATCTATTTCTCCATCACTCTCTCATCAATCTCGTTCCTTAAATATTTCAAGCCCATCCCATTACCTTCCCTTCCATTCTTTTTACCTTGAAGTGATTCCGTCTGGGCTGCGTTCACAGGCAGCCCTTTCCACTGAGGTCTCTGCTCAGAAGTTATCTTTTAAAGATCTCCGCTTGATGACTATTTTAGTTGAATTCACCTATATCACTTATATCTTCACATACCACAATAAATCATGATTGCCTTACACTGTTCCTCCCTATGACTATCATTAGCTGAAGAAGACACATGCTAATGTCTTTTGTTTACTCACTACAATGAAAGCTCCTAGGAGGGAGGCAGCACCGCTCTTGGGATGCTGAATGACTTAGCAATCTCATCACCTAATCCTAGACATAAACGTTAAAGACACTGTAGCATAGCTATGAATTGATCTATATATTTAATTCACCAAATCATTCCCTTTTCTACATTCAGAAAGCTGTTGGCATGTACGAAAAGTTGATTTAACAATAGTTTGTGGAATACTTGTGCACTCTGCTGGAAAAAAAATGCGTTCTTACAGGAGGCAGTTAGAGTAAAAGACAAAAACAACTAAGTGCCACGTGTAAATTTCAAATGTAGCATACTTAATTATGGACTTTAAACTTCATTTTACAGCAATATAAAAATTTTCAAAGTCTTAAGATGTAGACTATTTTTTTTTTTTTTTGAGACAGGATTCCACTATGTAGTTCAGGCTGGCCTTGAACTCACTTTCTAGTTAGCTCTAGCTGGCCTCCAACTCGCACTGATCCTCCCGCCCCGAGTGCTGGGATCACAGGTATGCACCACTATGCCCAGTGTAGCCTACATTTTCTAACCAAAAAAAGAACCTAATTCTCCAAATGTCAAAAATACCTTATATGTCAAGGAACAAGAAAGCCCCACAGTGAGTTTTACCTTGATACATAGCTTGTGCTCCAGTCCACGCAAAAAGGCTTGCAATAGCGTTAGCTCTAAACACAACTTCTATCTGGTCAGCGCGGTTTTGTTTCAAAAGCTTCTCCCTTTTCAACTTGTCGGGTAACAGATGAAACTGCGTGTGACCGTAACAGCACGGGTCCGCTGTTCGCGAGCCTGGAGAGCAACATGAAGACACCTCAGATGCCGTGAGTGGAGCCGAGGGCCCCGCGACGGCCCGCACAGCCCCGCGTCGGCCCCGCAGCGCCCGACGGCCCCGCAGCTCGGGCGTCTTCTCTTCTATGGAGTAGGCTCAGTGCGCAAACCACAGACCTGGAGCACCAGTTTCTGCCTGCTTTCACCAGGGACAGCGAGCTAGACTACAGGAAGGCAGCGACTCCCCGCGAAACCCGAGCATCGCTGGGCACGTGTGCTCTGGCACAGGCTCAGGCAAACAGAGCTGATCTGCCTTAACAGCTCACTATTCAGGTAATATTACATAGTGTTCTTAAATTTTTAAAAAGTTTTTATACATTTTTAAATTAAAAAAAGAACCAATATTCCATGAGATGCTGACACTGATGACGCTGCTGATAGTCTTTGAAAAAGTTCTTCATGGATCACTGTTGAGAAGGAGCTTATAAAATGTGTAGCGCTTCTGGAGAAGTAGTGTAGCACTTGCTTAAAGGGGCCTTAACTCAGCCAAGAATTAATTAAGGGGGAAAAGCTATCCGAATAAGACCCGCAAGGAAACACACCAGGCTTTACTCACTTTTCAAATCCCAATCATAGCCCAAGGCCAGCTCTACACGCTTTTACTTTTGAAAAATCACAAGTTATTTTTAATATAATAAATTTGAATTTAATAAAAATGCCAAAAAAGTATACCTCTTCTGAAGTTAAATGTTACTGATACAGTAGGCGCAAGTACGATGCCAAGTGATGCGCTGAGGGGACCTCTTTAACGACCTCTCAGCACGCACGCTGCGGCCATCGGAGGCTGCGCAGGCACGCCTGCATCTCTGCTGTCCAGGACTTCTCCCTACAGTTCATGCTCCCGGCGTGCACAGCAAGGTGCCTCAAGAGAACTTACCAACAAATATGTTGTTTTCATACTGCCGTTTGAACAGGGGAAGCTTGTCCGGCGAACACTTCATAACGGGGATCTCGATAGGTACCGAATAATCCAATGGCACGAACTTAAAGGAAAAGGAAACACACGCTGAATTACAGGAACAGCAGTGTCCACTCGACACACACTCTCATTACATTAAAAAAATTTTAAGTGAGGTGTTTACAAAATAACCTGATAACACGAATTTTCTTTGATCAAAATGCTGAGAACCAGAACAGCTTCTGATTTCAGTTTTCCCGACAGTCGAATACCTGCAGAATTCTCACCGATGGAACATCCCTGATCTAAAGTGTGAACTGGGCGGCAGCTTGGACCCTGGGGCGCTTCCAGCCGCACAGGTTTAGACCATAGCAGCTCACCCTGCAGGGCCATCTGGGCTGAATCCCACCCAGCCACGCTGCTCCTGGGACACAGCCGTGCACGTCCCTCACACTGCACCTGGCAGCGCGCATGCCCCACACCAGCAGCTGTGCACTTACAAGAGCTGTGGACCTGCAACGTCTGGAAGCAGAGCTCTACGGAAAGAGTGCCAACCCCGAGGCAGAAACACCGATGATACACAAAATCTTCACTGTCTTCAAAAGAACCGCATGTATGTAAAGCGACCAGGCTTGCAACTGTAGAGACCCTCTGATTTACGACTCACTAGTATATGACAAGTTACAATATAAGCTAGTATTAGCATAATCAATTTAAAAGAAACAAAAAGATACGTGTGACCCTGAAAACTGATGTCTTAACCTCACTAACATGATTATTTGACCAGACTGGTGTCTTTATAAGAAGGAGGAAAGCTATGAGATCCACCCACAACATTTCATGCTGCAAGCCCAAGTACCTAGTCTAAGACACTTATCACATCAGACATCAGTACATACACACATGCATGCAGTAAACCCTTACCTCTGGGAGTTGCTTGGGGATTCGAATCTGGTTGTTTGGTTTATCGTCTATTTGGTATCGAACGGGATCAATCCGGCCCTTTCTATAACCACGAGGAACAACTTCTTCACCACGCAGCCAGTAAAAATGAACTGGGCGTTTATAATCTATCAAAAGATTCAAAAATCTGATTAGATGACTTTAATTTTTAGAACACAAACATTACATTTTGTAATAGACAAAAATGTTGCTGATTAAAAATACTCTTTTAAATAATATACAGCCTAAACTATGCAGCAATATGACTTTAAACTGCACCTAACACTCAAAACATTTATCGTCCACTCGTGCCACCATTACTGTCAGCAACGGTGCTTGGTTAAGAGATGACATAAAGCAAACAACGCTAGCAGGAATACCACTCCCCGGAAGGAAAGCGTTCCAAGAGCTGCCTGGCGAAGCACCCTTGCAATCCCGCAGCAACTCTAAGCATCGATAGAGCTGCAATCATCTCCATCTTACACGAGCAAACCCGGCCGCAAGGGTATGTCTCGTGGGCGCGCAACAGGAGCAGTGGGAGTGCCCATGCTTCCCTCAAACTGCTTCTGCCCAGGAAGGGGAAGCTGGCGAGCAAGCCAGTGACAGGTGTCCTCCAGGGTGTCACGTGAAATGAATGGAGAGTCACTGACGTTTAAACTGTTTATTAACCCACTATTTTTCACTTAACACTACACAGGAACCGTGGCTCACGGGGTCCAAATGATCATCCGAACCTACCAAGCACACGGTCTTGGGCAACACAGTGCAGGTGCCTGCCCCCTGCCACCGACTGTCAATAGCTACTGTATTGGGGTGGCACACAGAAAATCGGGAGCAGGGCCTCACACCTCACAAGCAACCGTGAAGTATTTTAGTGCACACCTAACTTAAGCGTCACGGTTCCACCACAGGTGTGTGCTAACTGCCCTAATCCCTTCTTGTAAATGAGAAAGGTGAGAAAGGCAATAAAGGGAACTCCCACGGGGTCGAGCAGGTTTTGGGGAAATGTGAAAAGGCAACCCAGGTCTGCCCCACTTTGGGGGGTACCGGGAGTCGAACTCCGGGCCCAGCGCTGGCCAGGCGGGCCCCCCGCCCCCGCTCGAGGGCTTCCCCTGCCAGGCTTCCCCCCAGGCTGTACACCCTCCGACAGCGCGCCGGCCGCCCACGCCCACATCCCGCGCCCCCACCCCAAGCCTCAAGTCC